GCTCTCGGTTAATTAATAGTGTTTTTAGTGATGACGAAGAAAACATTGTTTAATTTATATTAATATGTATCACTTAAAAAATTTTAATGAAGATATTTATCTTAATTATGAAAATATACTAGCATGTTTTTTAATTTTTGGAACCTAACCCTCCTTTTCGTATTAGTTCTTTGTTTCGTATAACACGGATTCGCATAACACGGCAATTTTTTGGAACATAACTACCGTGTTATACGGGGGTTACCTGTAGTCAACTTACAAGTCTTTGTATATACAGTAAACTCCCGATTATCCGGGCTAATGGTGAGTAGAGGTGCATGGATAATCCAAACTATAATTATTTATTTCTAAAATAAACATGTAGATTCACTTTTTTCAAATTTTTCAATTAACATTAGTTTTTGTTTTATAGTAAGTACGACTTTCTTTCGATTATTAGGCATTTTAAGGGTACTTACCTGAAAATTAAAAAAAAAAACATCTTATTTTATGTAATTTTACGCTAAAAGTATTTGTGGGAGAGTTATTTATGTATAATATGTATTATACATATGTACATGTAATCAAATCTTAAATTGTAATACGTATTATAACATGCAACTAAATGAAACTTTGTATAAATGTACTCACTATTGTTTTCTCCTCTGAAAAGAAACGTCCAGTGCAAAAGAAGCAGCCTAACTAAAACCAGTCCAGCTGACTTCAGATACCCTCACCACCCACTTCAAACAACTAAATAGGAACACGTGCACACTTATAGGATGTGTAAACATGAAAGTGAGCAACTATTTAAAAAATACATACACACATAAATATTACATGTGAAAATTAAACATATTTTTAAAATACCAACTAAGTAAACAGTCTTAAAGTAATATTTCAATAAGTGAATATGTTTTAAATAAAAAAATTAACATACTTTTAATATGTGTGCTTGTTTATTATAAGCAATTACAATGACAAAATTTTATTTCATTTTAATTAGACATTACAAAAACCTGCTTTCTACAATTTTTAATGATATTGAGTACAAAATTATGATTCTATTCAGACTAAATAAAACATCATCATTGGTTCATCTTACTTTTATGTAAATTTGAGAATAATATCACTTAACATTTCTACAGGATATTGGTGAGTTCAAAATTGAAAAATTCAGTAAATGTGCACAAAGAAATGGTATAGTTGTATTTAGTATATCATATTAAGAATTGCTAAGATTCTAATTCCCACTTCTTTCTAGAAACTTTTAAAGTCTAGATAGATACATCTATCTATCTAAGAAAGAGGCCATAAAAGTCTTAATAGCCAGGTAGATTTTCAAATGAAAATGATAATTATAGTTTTCAACTTTTGCTTCCTCAAATTTATAAACAGTTAATATTGCTTAGTAAATGTAACCTATACTTCATCTTTTTAAGAAAGCATGTAAAAGATTTTTATTTCAAACACTGTAGAAATTGCTACCATAATTAATATTATATGGCTGTTTATGTATTTGAGAAATGATTTAGAATAATTACAGAGTTTGATTAACATATGAGAACTAGTTTTGAATAATAAGATCAATCAATTCCTTTCCAAGTGAACAAATTGAAAGTTAGTGCATAATATGCATTAACTTTCAATTATTACATTACATTATTTGTTGCATACTGTATATAATATATACAGTATGCAACAAATAATGTAACATCATTGCTCATGGAACATCTAGTTTTGAATATTATATATTTCATAATGATCATAATGTTACGACTCCTAAAATTAATTTGTTTTTAGAAGGATATGTTAAAGGATGTGCCCATTTAACATATCCTTCTAAAAACAGATTAACATAAATTCAGTTACTGCAGAATATCCCAATGGTGTAAAGAACATGGTCTAAGCATTAGTAAGGCTGAAACTAACAACAAATTGTATTAATTGTTCTATCAGACATGCTCTGGGCTTTGCTCATGCAATGAAACTTGGATTTAATAACTGATGGGTTTAGATCTGGGCTTAGCATATTATTAGGACTATTGATGCATTTTTATCTTGATTAATTGGGTACGTTCTGTGGATAATACAAAAATTTCCTATCTTTTCTGTTCTCCAAAAACTGCTGTTAAATCAATAGTACAATTTATTACATGTTTCCCATA